TCTCGCTCGACAGCACGCCCGCACCCCCGTCGTCCCGTCCCCGCCCACGCACAGCGGCGAGTGGCGGTGAGGAAATGCGTGTGCGTTTCGAATTTGGGTTACTCTCCGTGCGCCGAGTGCTGGCCTACTTTCGGCCTACTACTGCTGCGAGATACAGATACAGATACGAGGAGCAGGGCCGAGCGTTAGAATTTGGGTTGTTGTGGGTCTTGTGCCACAAGATGCGTCCCCAGCGATAGCCACCGATAGCTGACACCGATAAGCTTCCGCACCCGCACCCGAACCCGCCCGCGCCAACCCAGAGACCCATCACAACCGATTTTGGGAACAAGGCGCTTGGTGATCGGTAGTTTGCCTGCCTTTTGTTGATTCATTTGGGTTAATTGACAGAATCGGGTCAATGTTTTGTTCACATTTCATTCCGACGCCATCTAGAATTAAGTTCTGGGTCAGCACCTGGTGACCACCCAGGGTAGTTAGGGCTCAACCTGAAGTTTATTTGCGAGGCAGTTTTAGGACCTTAAGTTGATTTAAGACTAAGAATCTCGAATTACCATCCCAATCAGTATAAATTGAAACCTTTTTCGAGTGGAAACCGAATCCAATTTTTCTCGAACACATCTTCCAATTTACTTTAGCTTTTCCTCTGGCTGCTTAGCCATTTCCTAGGTGCCGCGGATGCATCTCAGCATGCGTAGGCGGCTCCAGCTGAGCGAGAATTTACGGCTAATGGCTGTTGCCGTTTGTTGTGGTCGGGCGGGTGACCTACTTTCCGGCACGCACTATCACTACCAGGCGTGCCGCCCCCACCGCCCTCTGGCTGGGCTTACCCGCTGGCGCTCGTCGTCAGCGCTCGTAATCAGAAAAGCTTTCATAAGTCGTTTGTTCTGTACACATACCTGCAAAGAGAGAATGAAAATATTCAATTAATCAAAGCTGTCGCTTGAATGGACTGTAGAATTAAACTTAAAACTATCACTGTGGGCTTATAGTATCTGACTAAGGATGTGCCATTTTTATTGGCCTTTGCGTGAGAACTGTGCAGGTGAAGCCGGTCACAGGTGAGGACCGCGCAACGCTCCTAAATATGGAAATTCATAAAATTTTTCGCCGGACATGGCAAATTACGGTCGAAAATGATTTTAATGAGCTCATCATCGGGTGGCGTGTGATGCGAATGGGCACTATTTTCGAGTATATTTAATTGGCAAAGTGTTGGGGAAATTGGAAGCAAAAAAATAATTGCCAGCATTTGTTTGAATTCCGAGTGCGGATATGAATGGTGCTTGGATTGGTGTCAATGTCGAATGGGTGATTAATTACTTTTAATTAGGGTTGTGGATACTTTTTGATTTCTATCTATTTTAAGATCAATCCGCACTGGGCTTCTCCTTCCACTCACCACATGATCACAACCATTTCGCTGCAATTTGCACTTTCCAATGTCCACCCCTCCTCTTTCAAGTTCAAAATCGACAGACAAACGGCAAAATAGAGGAAATTTTATGCAAAAATGATTAAGATGCGGGGCAGAGGGGGAGGGAGGGGGGGCAGCAATCAACGCGCATAAATCAAACTCTGCGTCTCCTTCGCAGCCAGCATCTTTTTACTTTTCTGCTGCGCTGCAGCTGAACACGAACGTAGAAAAAGCTGGCAAAGAAAAAGTGGAAAATCATGGTTCGGCGGCGAGTAACAACAACTTTCACTCGAAGAGAGCGACCGATGAGAGGCAGAAAGAAAGTGAGACAACTTGATTGCTTTTATAGAAGCCCGAAGTGAAGAAGAAAGTTAAGAAGCAGAATGCCCATTTGCGGCGGAAACTTGTTTGGCGACTTGACTAGAAGAAAGTTGCCTCGGCCGCCCCGAGAATGATGCACTAATTGGACAGTTGGTGGGAAGGAGATGGCCGTACGCTAGTGCCTCTCTGTCCACAGATCAAATAACAATATTTTAACAATTTTTGTGTCTTTTTTGCCAGGTTTGATGGTCAGATATTTGGGATCTTAAGAATATCTTAGATCCTTAGATACGTAGTCCATAATTTGATTGTTATTTTAATTTTCTTCGCTCTCTTTCTTCTCTCTCTATTTGCCTTTTTCCACTTTTTCTATTTCTATTATCAAGAACAGAAATAGAGACTCGCACTCGCTCTGGCGTGTGTGTGTATCTTAGCACACGCATACATACATACACACCTACATAACTGTATATAAATATTTCACAATTTCTTTTCGCTTTTTATTTTGGACAACATTTGTGCATACACACTACTGACATAGTTTTTCCCGAATAATATTTATAATATTTGGGCGGCACAGTGGGGCCAATCAGACAGCCTAAATTTCTGTTTCTGGCTGAACAAATAAGTGTTCTGCTCTGGCTGCCCCTGCTATCAAAGCACCTCTTCGAATTTGAATTATTTATGAACCCCTACATAATACCTGAACAATTTTAATTGCGTTGACTTGTTTTAGTCACAGCTGCAAGCCGGTTGTGTCATTAACCTATAAAAACGTGTACGTCCATGGGGCAAGAGGTCTCCCCCTAGAAAACAGAACCAGAGAGAGGCAGGAGAACGCCAACAATTGCACCGAGTTCAATCGCAATTGAGCGTTTCTATTTTTGGGTTTTATTTTGAAACGCTCCCGTCTAGCCACAATTTAAGGGTTATTACGAGTTATACACTTGCTACATCCGAAGGAGAGAATTATGATATCTTAATAACAGTTTTGGGAAAAAAACATAAACAAACACGCCCAAGAGTCAAAGTCAGGCAGCTGTCAGAGGCACTCGTCAATGTCAGGCGGAATCTCGCGCTGCAATTACAAACAAGCAGAGAATAAGCGAACATCTCGCTTACAACAAGTAGACATTGTACATTGTGTTGGGGGAAGCGATGGACCCCAGCAGATGGGAGGAAGGGGAGCGCGCGAGACGACCAGAATACGAGAACAAAACTGCACTTTGATGAGCGAGCACCAGCAATGCGGGCGTCTTTCGTGCGAGAGCGAAAGAGAGCGCAAGAGCGGCCGGATAGTTTCGTGCTCATTAGTTGGGGCTCGGTTCTTGGGGCCCGCTGTCCCTCTCTTTTTCTCTCACAGCGCTCCGCTTCTGATCGCGATTGTCGATTGCTGACAGCTACTACACGGCTATAGCTACAGCAAAAACAACACGACTGTGAAATGGCGGCACAAAATCATTGACCTCAATTTTTTCGTCATGCGAGCACAGACACGCTTGCGGGTAATTGCATTTGTGTGAGCGAGTGCAAGCTCGCGGGGCGGGGAGAAATGAAAGGGGGAGGAGAGTCACACAGACAAAGACAGTTGTACGAAAAGCTTGCCATCAGGCGTTATCATTCTGGTTTTATCGTGCACAAATATGCGTATTTGGTTTGAATTGTTTGTCGTTGTATAACCGCTCTGCTCTGCTCACCTTTATTCGCCGCCGTCCTTGAGCTTTGTGATCGCTCTGAGTCCGGCCCAGAACGCCTAATTATGTCATAGAAAACATGTACAACTCCGAGCCACCCCAGAAAGTGGACAAAGAAAATGCAAATGAGCTTGTCCGCCAGAGGGAAACAGGCTGAGGTGAGATGGAATGAGACGGCACAGTTGTGCAAACAAGCACGCACATGAGTTGTGGCTGCTCCTGCATCTGATGTGGCTGCTGCTGCGGCTGCAACGCGACGCAGCTATTTTAGGGGGTAAGGTCATGTACTTGAGCTTGCCATTCGCTGCTCTTCTGCAGCGCCACGTAAAGCAAAAAAGCGGAGGAACCTGTGTGCGCGAGTGGGATGGAGATGGAGATGGAGGGCGGCCTGTTCTTGCGGTTTTTCGATTTCGCTTCGGGCTGGTCACACATGCAGTTGCGACCCACTTTGGTTTTTTGGGCGAAGCACGTCCAGAGTCGAATAAAAACCAAGCAGGACACCCAACACCTTGAGATTTATGTGGGACATTATAGGGTTAACTGCTGTTTTCGTTGGAACTTTTGCCAAAAACTGCATTTGTAATTGATTCTTATGTAACTGGTGGCACTAGTGCCCTGCTAAACAGTCGGATAACCCAGTTTCAAATCAAGTACATGGCCCAGCGAGACCCAGTGGCCTTGACCCGACACTTGTCAGTTGCAGTCCTGGACACGGCAGCGAAAAATCAATGACCCAGACGGCGACAAAGACGCATCGATTGCAGTCGGCGACCTTGAACTCTGCCACCCCTTCTCCAAATTTGGGTCAGATGCAAATGCAGAGGGTTTGTGCTGCGCCAGCAACTGCTGCTGCTGCTGCTCCTGACCCGACCCAACCTGACCTGGTTTCCCCATTTGGCACGAGGTCAGTCCCACAATTACGAGCGAAGGCGAGCACGAAACACCCGAAGTGACGTCACCGCAGCAATTGCAGATGCAGGAAGCGAGCGAGAAGGGCTCCTTCAGCTTCCCCACACACTCCATTTCCTCTGCCTGCTGCTGAGTGCTCGCTGAAAGGAAGGCCCTAAATATAGAAAGACTTGAGGTAGGTTCGAGTTCCAGAACGAGACCGATAAAGGGAACTGGCACGTTAGGGGGGATGGAGACGGGGACGGGAACGGAAGAGCCACTAAACCGCCCTTACGGCTGCACATGGCCCGCCGCAGATGTGTGAGTGAGTGCATGGCAGGCAGGGTTCCATGACGGCGCTGATAATGCCGAAACAACAATGCACTCTGCTCCGCGGCAGAGCTGTGTGCGTGTTGGCTGCACTTCCACTGCCTGCTCTCTCTCTCTCTCCGCCATCAACGTGGCCAGAAACACCATAAAAAGTGCCCCATGAAATGCGTTCGGGCAATAAAATATAATTAGTGCGCTGTGCATTCCAGATACAGAGGATGGGCGTGGCCCCCGACAGGGAGTGAAGTGGAAGCCCCTCGGAATGTTTTCGGTCCAAGTGCGGACACCAAGCTTCCTGGCATTCAACAGATACAGATACACTAGCTACAAAACTATTCCACTGTCCTTACCTGATGAAATGGAATTGGCCGAGTCGCTGCGCGGCGTGTGCTGCATCCCCAGGCCCAGGCCGCCCACTCCGCCCCCTCCGACAGTCGCGCCTCCCATGAGGCCGTTCGAGCCGCCGTTAGCGGAGTGCAGACCCATGGCCCCGACGCCGCCACCCAGCCCGTTCTGCTGCAGGTGGTGCTGGGCGGAGGGGGTGGTGGGCGTAGTGGAGTTGATGAGTCCGTGGCCGTTCTGCATCTGCTGCTGCATCGCACCGATCCCGTTGACCAGCCCGTGTCCGTTGGCCAGGGCACCGAGGCTGGTGGCCCCGGGCACGTAATGGCCGTTGGAGCCGTTGGTAGCGCCTCCGACCCCGTTGCCCCCGATGCTGCCGTTGATGGGGATGATGGTGGTCTGGGCGGGCAGGGTGCTGGAGCAGCTGTGCATGGCCAGCGTGATGACGCTCTGCTGCTGCTGCTGCTGGTTGAGGACTCCGCCGTTGGAGCTGCCGTACGGGCCGGAGTCGTTGCCGCAGAGCCAGAGCTCCTGGTCGCAGTAGTCGTGCGAGTCCAGCGAGGATGGCGACATGTTCACACCCGAGGGCAGGACGAGGCCGTTCGAGGAGGAGGTCACCTCTGATGAGGACTCCTCCGGCAGGCGCATGAAACCGCCGTTGTTCGACCAGCGCCGCTTCATCCTCTGGTAGCCGATGGTCGCCGTTTTGGGGCCGTTTGTGGTTCCGGTGTGAGTCGGCTGGGGACAATCGCTCGTCCCTGGCAGTTGGTCTTAAGGTCAGTAAGATGCTTCGTGGAGCTCGTGGAGAATCTGCTCCGAGATTCTTCTTCTGGTGTCTTGGTGTGGCTTAGTTCCCGTGGAACTGGGTGCTTGCTTCTCTGTTATTTTTTTCGCACTTGCTTGCGTTCAAAATGCATTTTCGCCCGGGCTCGCCTTCCTCCTCATTCAGCACGCGGGGCACTCGGGAGCTGGAATAGAGAGTGGGTACAACCCGTAAGGATGAGCCTGCCTCGAAAGTGTCCTCGCTTCGAGGGCGCCCCGATCAACATTTTGTGGTCACACTGGAACGCCGAAGGTTCAACGCCCCCCGCCGCGACGGGGACAACCTCATGAAATTTTCATTTCATTTAATTGCAAATTTCTTGCAAACCCTACCTTGAACGCGGCGCCGGGGAGGAGCGCTAAGCCAAAGCGCATACGTAATTCCTGAATAGATCAACCCCGAGAAGGCCGACACATGTTGCTGCCTATCTGGGCGAGAACATCGCCCAGTCGGTTTAGCGGGAACTTTGGCGAAGATTGCAAACTTCTGATAGCCCATCTCCGCCTCGGCCGGCAGATTTATGGTCATATGGATACGACAGCCACTCGGCGAATAGATTACCTTGCTTTTCGCAACAATTAATCTGCTTTTTCCCCCTACCTGCGATTCGCGGGCTTAGCCAAGCGACGACTTGGCTTAAATGTCGCCAGAATTGATAGTATGCCAAAGATACTTTGCAAGTTCTCGGGTTTCTACAGAATCTAGATGTCGTTTGCCGCCCCGATCTATCATTTCGGATAGAGCTCTGTACACTTCCTCCTTCCAGCCAACCAACTTCCCTATTTGCACTCGCTGTCGGGCTTAGGGTCTGTTTGATCACCAGTTATCAAACATTTGTCTTGACGTCGATTTGTTTGCCTTGTCTAACCTCGATTCGGGTGTGTTGTCGAGGCATGTTGGCATATGAGTAGAAGAGACTACTCATAAGGGATATTCAAGTGGCTATGTTTATGGGAGTACTTCAAGAGTTCAAAGAGAAGAAGAGTTACTGCGAGGAAATTAATACTGTCAGTCGACTTTTATTTTGGCTAAGAACCTACTCACAAGGGAGGGTATTTCTCCAACAAATATACTCCCACTTCACTCTTAGTTTGAGCTTTAAAGAGCAGTCCAACTAGTTAGTTAATAACTAAACTGTTTAATCACGCATTAGTGTCCCCTGCGAGGCATTGACACTCGACTACTTGGGAAAGCAGCTAATTGTGGGCTTTAATTAGTGAAAGTCGTGCACTCCCCATACATGTTAATGCAGGGGCCGCCATTGCACTGCCAATCGACTTGCGATTAGTCACGGTCTGGGTCAGTGGAGATGTGGCTCTAACCAGAATCAATCGCAGCAGGAATTTCGAGTGGGCTTGCAATGCAGGGCCAGCAGCCTTTTGACTCATCCGTCCCCTTACAGGTGAATCATTACTTGGAGTACTGTGTGTATCGGCGGCTCTGAGCTGAGCGGAGCGGAGCGAGTGAGCAGGTTTCCCCCGATCCCCGATCCCTGACCCGCCTGTCGTTCTGCTTTTGGGCTTCCCACCATTAAGAGACCGGCAGAGCGCCAACGAGAGGGAAAGAGCCAGACAACAATAAAGCAAAAGTCTGTAACTTTTCGTCTCTTTTCCCTACAAAGCGCCAAAAACTGGTTTCAAGCTGCGCCAGAGCGGGATGGAGCGAGGCTTAGAACGAAATCAAAAAGAATCGCAGCCGGGCCGACGAAGAAATCGAAGCCAGCAAAGAGCCAGAACAAAGAAAAACGTAAAAGCGAAAGAAAAGGGAAGACTGGTCTAAGCTTTCGGGGGGGCGCGGTGCAGTAGGGGCCGAGGCAGAGCCGAGATTTTGGCCCGCATTAAGGAAAAAACCTGTCGCTGCCTCTGCCTCTGCCGCTGCCTCTGCCTCCGTCTCAGTCGCAGTCGCAGTCTCTGCTCTGCTCAGTTCTGCCGGCCGACTGAACTCGTCGAGCAGAAACACAAAAACAAACAGGTTGTTCTTTGGCGATTTCGCTTTGTTGTCTACAAAAATATTTCTGAAAACATCAGCGGAGAAGCGAGTGGAGCACGTATTGGGATAAAGCACACACTCGAGCTCACCTATATGCCTTATGTATCTCAGAGGTATGTATCTGCGAGATGCGCCGCGATACACAAGCGACATTCACGCATTTTATAGCTTGCGTGTCTGTTGTTGTCGCTATCTGTTGCGCTGCCCGTTTATTTTGCCCATTTTACGTTTGTGGTTTTCCCTGTTTTCCCTGTTTTTCAGCCTTCTTCTGGCCCGGTAGCCGAGCTGGGGCGAAGGGCTCTACACGCAGACTCAGATGACTTTTTAGCGCTCTTGCCGCAGTAACCTGTCTTTGAATTGGGCCTAAGAATTGAAGTCCAAGGGGTAGATCACAAAGAGAAGAAGAATTGGGCTCCTAATAATGGCTTATAATAGGGAATGAATCAATACCCCCAGTACTAGTGGGGGTACAAACTTGAACTGACCCAAAAAGGACCCGATTAACCCTTGGATACAGATACAGATACAGATATACCAACTATCGGAATATTACGAGTTGTACGGAAGTGTGTCGATGACTAGCACGCGACCACCGATTATCGGCATTCCGAATAGCCTCCACATCCTTATTCCCTTCCCAGCCATTAGGTCCCGAGCCCACATTCCCAAATACAATAAACTTTATTAACAGTACTGCAAGTCAACAATGGTTGTACACGCCACTGGAAGCGGTGGAGTCGGTGGGTGGCATGGGTGCTCTGGGCCAGTGGGCCACTCCCTCCAGCTCCAGCCCTTGTCGGGAAAAACAATTAAATATCCGCTGCCGGCTTGTCCAGTGGCTCTCATAATAGGCCCAAAGCACAAGCCCCCTACCAGCACCAGCCATCAGCCCATCAGCCCTTCAGCCCCACAAAGCACACTCCTTTTGTACAGTTACTTGGGTGTGGGTGCAACGAGAGTGCGGATCCTCTTAATTTCCTGCTGTTATTTTCCTGCCCGTAGAGCCGACGCCGCGTGATTTTCATTTGGCGGGGAGTCCGAGGAGGGAAACATATGTGACACATTCCCATAAACCCTCTCTGGACAACGCAGTGAGCCACAATGTCCACGGGGCACCCAAGGACTCGCTTTCAGTGGTACTGATATGTGCACTGAAAATTTGAATGTTTTAGTCGCGTGGAAGCACGGGGATGGAGTTTATTATCGTCGGTGATGAATGGAATCCCTCATATCTAAGTCTATTAACACCTCTTCATATGAAACCTGAAGCTGGCCTCGTTTTCCCGCTGATAAACCAAACTGCAGAGGCACGAGTCAATATTGCCCAAAACAACACCGACTCTATCAAAAGTATATCCGAAGAACACCCATACAAGCTCAGGGCGAACCAGCTGATAACTTAACGGGGCTTCTCTCTTGAGCCCCAACCAAAACTGGTTGGTTTACCTTTTCTGCGAATTCCACTTAACACAAGTATGAGCTTATACTTAATTTTGATCAGAAACTGGACAGCTACAAAGCTTATCGAGTCCTTGTCCGAGCTTCTCCGACAGGAATACCCAATTACCATAAACACATCCAGCTCCCAGCCAGTTGTTTTCTTTCTCAGGCGGATTCCGTTCCACATGCCGCAAAGCTTCAACATAATTCACTTTCCATTCGATTCCTAGCACAAAAATCAATTAGCAATAAAAGCAGGAAAAAGTTTTTAATGCCCCGGCCCGAAGAGATTTATGGGCCTGCGGTTGTCACTCTTCGGCTTTCTCAAGAACCAGGCCTCAAGTGGCTGATAGGCTATACTTTTCAATTAACGGCCTAGAAAATTAGTAAACAAAACTCCGCCAGCCCAGACCCCACTCACATCGACGTCTCTGTTTGACGCCAGCCGACGACGCCGGCAGCCTTGGCTATCAGAAGCATAAATAATAGAGGGCTAGAGGAAAAAACCCCGCGACAGCCTCACAGTTGGCCCAAAGCATAAGTCGACTGGCTCGGCTCAAAAATGCGCTTCAATCATTTCCTTTTCCGGTTAGGCGATGTCTCTCCTCCCATTCTTGTCCATCGACGATTTGCATTTATAATCAATATTATCATTTGCATATGAGGATCTGACTGATGGCCTGACCTTTCGGCCGAGCTAGACGAGTTAGCACTAAGCGCAGAGCCAGCATGGCCAACGAGTCACCGGAGAAGTGATTCAATCAATTTCAAGAAACCCGGGGAAAAGCTATCTATCTCTTCCCCCACTTAACCTTGACCCGTTTCTCCTTTTGTTAGGCAAATCTGCTCAAATCTGCTATTGAGATGCTCGTCTCTGTGGCACTAATCACAAATTAAAATGTTTATATGGAAAAAGTTAAAACAAAGGTCGTTGCCATAAACGTACAGTCATAAACCACACTTTGAATCTTCGAGATGAGTTTCATATGAACAGGATTACGATGCTTGAATCGTAACAAGAGTTGCCATCGGGGGGAGTCGAATACTACGTACCCTTGCAGGTTCACCTAAGAAGAGGTTCGAGTTTCCTCAAAAAGTATCGAGTTTCTATTTTCAAAAAGAATACCTAATTGGTAGATGGTTTCTGAAATCTAGTTAGCTGAGCGCAATCTAAACTCAATTTTCATTCTTAATAGCAAAGACTATTATATTTTGTTGTACTTATTTTTATCCATAATACTCTCTTGTACAATTATAATGTTATTACGAGGTTTTCTGCCGAATAGCTTGCCCAAAAATACAGAAGTATATGAAGTATCGAGGTATGAAACGTGTAATAGGTTATGGATTAACCATTTCAAGGACAGGACTGGAAACCTATGACTATTAAAATCAATCCTCTCAGGAATGGAATCCTCTCCAGAAGCTCCCGTGATTATTGATTGGTTATTTGATTGCTTTCAGAGAATAAAAAAAAACCTTTAAGAAGTTATTATTTAAAACAACTCCGTTTGACTAAGCCCTAAAAAAGTAGATGTAACAAAGCCAGAGATAATGATATATAATGATGTGTCGCCCAGAACCCACAGCGCCGACGAGAGCGACGACAGACCCGACAAGTACGTCGAAAAACAGTCGACCGCATGCATGGACGTACATGTGTCTATATATTTGCATAAAATCGCATTAAAATTTGCCATTTTGCCAACTTTAATGTTCCATAAAACACAAACAACAGCGCCGAAGACGTTAGCATGACGATGTCGCGCCATAGGAAGCTAGTAACTTTTTGTGCTGTTTGTTCAGTGTCCACCAAGTGTAGCAAAAGAGGAATGGCGAATAATTTAATGTGCAAAAACTGGGGGCAGGGGCGGGGGCTAGAGCAAAGGAGAGAGCCAAGAAGTCGGAACTTTAACCAGTCCCGTCCAGGAAATTCTATTCGGGCCAGAGGCAGGGTTGGGGGCTAGGGCAGTGGAAATTAATTGTGGGAGAGTCTGACTAATGTGTGGTTCTGGCTCTGCTGCGAACCCAATCTGGGCGGTTACCTAATACTCCATTAGCCGCTCTAAATTGGCCAACAAAAAACGAGGACCCACAGGGGAACCTTTTGTAATAAAACCCAATACATTATATTCACCTTGGCCCTGGTTCATACTTGTAGAGGCCAAGCCAAGTTTCAAACAAGATCCAATTCAGAGACCACATTCCTGTCCAATTTTCAGGCCTACTTCACACACTCTCCAGCCGAAGTTGTTTACAAATCTAATCTCGTCGATAGAATATTTTCGTAAATCAGGACCCACTTGAGCAGCAACCTGAGGGGGATATCCACCGGCGTTCTCCAGCCAATTACGCACTCAAGTGACTGCCGGGCCTGAAAGCCCTCGAATAGTGCTTCCGAGCGATACATGTTATTGTTGGCAAATCTACATTCTGGCGCTCACTTTTTAATTGGACGTCTGTCAGTTGTCATGGCAATAATTAATGCATTACCAATCGAACATGTGTATCTTCCTATCCACGTATCCATGTATCTACGCACTGGCGGCATGTGCGTATCTTGGCACTGAAAGGCCGCATGTTTTCCTTTCGAATGGCAGATGGAAAATGGGAAATGGAAATGAGGTGACAAGTGAGTCGAGGCAAGGGCAGCACATAAGAGGCGACCGACCGGGTTCAACAAAGTTTCATTTGCGAAAAGACATTACGCTCCTAGTTGACCACAAAATGTTGTTATCCCAAGGAATCAGATTCCTCGCCCAGGGCCCGACACTCACCATACGCGTCTATGTACTGCGCCAGTTCTGCTACTAATCCACAAGTATCCATGGGCTGACTGTGTTCGGAAGGGGGCGACTATCCAGGTGCACGAGACACTTTTACTTGTTAGTACATGCAACTAGTTAAGCACTGAACGGTCACTATGCAACTGCACTTTGGAGGTTTTTACTGAGATGCTCCCCAACAGGATGTTCGAGGGGCATGCCACAGACCACGGCTAGACAAATGTCTGATTGTCCGTCCTCGTCTGCCGTCTCTGTCGCTGATTACGTAGCTGCTTTGTTGATGTTTGCTCTCGTCCGTCTTCCCTTCCCGTCGCGAGTGTTCTGCTTTCACCGTCCAGCGTCGAGCGTCGAGCGTCAAACGTGGAGCGAGTTGTTTAGAGACCCGCTTCTATTTTCACTGTTTTGCACTGTGCAGCGGCTATATAATTTCTGTACAAATATGAATATATGCTCTCGATTTACGTTATTTAAAGAATTATTTCTCCGCCGATTCGTTTTCACTTCGTACATACGTGTGTACTTTTCTTCATAAATCTCTGGTTCAGCTACAAGGCGTTTGCACTTTATTTCATTTCTGCGATGAATTGCACTTGTTTTGTTGTCGATGTTGTCGGCGAGGGAACAGGGTATTATAATTGTGGGGCTTTCTAACAATTTCTTATAAATAGAGGCGTGTGTGTGCGTGTATACAGGCGGTTTAGACACTATTTAATTCGGATGCAACATTTTAAACATTTTTTATTGGAAACCGTTCTGGCTGATTTATATCTTGTATCTTGTATCTTTTACTTAGCGGCTACCGAGCGAACGAACGCGATCCGGCGGCGAGCGTGCGTGCGGACAACCGTTAACAACAAAGTTCCAAACAAATTTGAGACAGTCCCACTGTGCCACTACGGCCGAGAGCCACTCGCGAGAGCCAAAACAAAACAGCTCTCTCATTCCACCGTGCTGTGGCAGCGAGAGCCACTGAGTTCGCGAAAGAGGTGGAGGAAAAACAAAAACACCTCTCTCAAAACAGTCCAACTGTGCCACAACCGCTCTCATTCGCTCCCTCTGGGTCGCCCTGTGCCGAAAAAGACACTTTACACCCTGTAGTTCGTTCTTTCAATTTGTCTCTCCCTCCGCACTCTCACTTCAGCCAAAATATACTCAACAGCGGAATCGGCGATAAAGAAACATGTGAGACGTAGAGCCGCACAGCACACATAGATACTATTCAGGCAAACGCGAGCACACTGAGCGAACGCTTGAATGAAAATGCCGATGCAATCGCGGGGTTCTCTTTGTTCGCTCTCCGGCTCGCATCTGCGTCTGTGTCTGTGAGGCCTCGTATCTGTGAGTTGTCTGCGCCAGCAGCCCACATTCCCTGCGCTTTCCTATACTCGCCTTCTTTATTTCTGTTTTCTACTTATTTGTTGTATATTTCGTTGATTTTTTTAGCTGCTGAGTCGTCGTCGCTACTTTCGGGTGCACAAGTGCAAATTCACACGTACATTCGAAATATGTCGGCACAGTGGGCCGAAAGAGCGGAGCCGTGGAAACGAAATGGAAAGCGAGCGAGTTCGAGATGGGATGTTTGGGTTCTGCTTTCGTATTAAAAGATATTTTTGTACCTAGGGTCATGTTTGAGCCATTGCTAGGATAACCTGCAAGTCATACAAAAAGAGTTTTTCGGGAAGTTTCCTAGCCAGGGATGGTCTCAGAACTGACCCTAGATACATTATTTGGGTACAAATTGGAGTTTTTCTCATTTCTTAGCGCCATATATGGCTATATATATATATATATATATATATGGTTGTTGTTATATATAACCTTCAGAACTGTATTATAATAGAAAATTATCAATGTAATCCTTTAGGGAGCAGTTGATCGCATAATTTGGTATCAACTTGGGATGCAGATGCAATATAATCTGCATTGCATGTATGTATGTATGTATCTATATTATTAACATGTATCTTCCTGCCTTCCCAAACGACAATTAATGTTTGAAAATACTCCACTGCGGGATCGGTGGACACTATCGACACCGCCAGAACGTAATTGATGGAGTGACCAGAAGATCAGCAGTGCAAACAGTATACACACCGGGCAACAGCAAAAACCAATGTATCTATGAGCCAGCCTATACGTAACGATGACTGTGACTGTGGCCGTCAGTCGGGCGGCGTATAAATTGCACATTTCAAATACATTGTGGTTAAAAAGTAAGCACAGCGCGACAGCCAGGCGAGATACTCAGATACAGATACGCATACACGGACTGTAGATAATTGAGCCCCGCCGTCGCCGCCCGCTCTGCCCGCTCTGGCACTCGCTCCCATCGCCACCCCCCGCACTCGCCCCGTCGATGTGGACTTGTAGAAAGTGCCTGTGTGTGCGATGAGTAGACGCTGGGCAAGTTCAAGTGTAGAATGCAATAGAGAATTGCACTTCGTGAGAGCGGCAGCTGCGAACGCGATTGGGAGCCACGAGAGGCCCACTAGGCGCTCTCTCCACGCATACGCATAGAAAAGCCGGCTAAGCTAGCGGCCTCCGGCGGGGTGGGGGCGCTGGGGCTCTCCCCGCGGCCGTGGGGTGGGGTGAGCGGTGCGGTGTGGTGTGGTGTGGTGAGTTTTGCTCTGTTTGGGGTTGCTAGATACATTGAACCACAAAAGTTCAAGATGAAAACACAAAATATCAACAATGACAGCTGAGTAGTGCGACTCGGCTCGGGGGTGCGACGAGAAGGCGGGGGTGGGGGGTGGGGGTGTTTGTCTCGCAAACTAGTATTTCTTCGAGTGTGTGCGTTTGGGGGGCGGATACATGGGAAGACCGATGCCAACTGAGCTCCTATGATTGCTTTTCTTCTCTTCCCCCGCACCGTCCCCACTCCCCCTTCGTGGCAGCACCCACCCGCCTTGGCCGACTGCCAAACGGCTCTCAGTTCAGTAGTACACTGGAGCAGTGGCTCTGGGTCTGAGTCTCCGGTGGCACATCTACATATCTAGATGTGGAGTGTGGCTGTGTGCGCTTCTCTGAGAGAGTTTGTCTAGCCGGGGCGGGGGTGCGGGGGAGTGCCAGGCCGCAGTCATGTGCATGCCGTTTGTTGGGGTAGTTCGCCGGCGAACACAACCACACACAAACATACATACATATGTTGTTTGTAGAAGAAATGGAAATGTAGACGCTCGATTGTTAGTGAAAGCATGTTAGATATCTGCTGGATTAGTGGTTCTCTTCGAGGGGAAATGGTAGTTACCTACTCTTTCACCCACTCTCTAAGCCTTCGGTGACTTTCCTGTACTTAACATAATTAATCCCCAAGGATGCCTTGAAATTATGAACTAAGCCCATCAGTTGGCACATCCCTAGGCCCTGCTCTCCAGTCCTTCCTTTTCTTCTTCACACACACAACACACACACCATCACTCACTTGCATGTGTATCTGTGCGCGTTTGGCAAAGGAGATAGCCGCCTAGAAAAGGCAGAAACCAAAGAGAAAAACTTGTCTACATGGCTGTCGTACAAGCTGCACAATTTATGCGAAGGCACACAAATCCACTGAACGAGAGACCGACAGCCCTGGCCATGCTTGTTGTTGCTCTTTGTTGCTCGTGCACTCTGGCCCATAGACAGGCTGCAACCACTCCGCTCCGGAGCCCTCCCCCGCACCACCTCGCACGGACATGGCTATTACTTTTCTGTGTTTTCCTTTGGCTAGTCTGGTTCGCCTTGTTTGGTTGGGCCTGGGCTCGGCTCGGGTCGGGTCGGTGCGAGTGGGATCGGATCCGATCCGAGCGGCTCGGCTCGGCTTGGTGCGACTTTTGGTATGATTTTGACTTTGAATCGGGCGCCACAGCAAGAGGCAGTGGAAGCGAGAAGGGCGGCCAGTGGGACAGGGACGGCGCGACAGCAAAGTCAGGTTTAATGTCGTTCAGTGGCGCATTGCCGACTTGCACTTGAGGTAGTCAGTACTCGTCACTGGGAGGGTGGGGCTGGGCGGCAGGGGCAGGGGCAGCGACAGAAACGTGTTGTGGGGAACGACAACAAGAGCAGTGGAAACGAACAGTGCAAATAGAAGCCCAAGACACCGCCCGGCTGTGGGCAAATAGCACATAGTCGAACATCGGTGGTGGTTCGCCGATAAGCGGGCTGGCTTGAATGGGCGATGGGGAGCCTTTGGCTTCGGTAGAGAGGGGGGCCCGGGGGATTTTCCGGCCATGGCGTATGTATTGCAACACGACTTTGCCGCAAATGGGCGGTAGAAGGTCGTGGCGAGGCACAGTGGAGCGAACTGGGCTGGCGCGAAGCAAAAATAGTTGGGAAAGGAAAAAAGGAAAAGGAAAGGTCCTGAAGCAGTTTATTTTGCATCCATGGATTATATTTGGAGGTGGTGGATAATTGAACACAATTATTCACATATTAATCAAATTGTCATTTTGTAATTTTTTTCGAATGGAACCTGATTTTCTTTTAATTTTCCAATATAATAATTTTGTTCTGATGCAATTGACTCCGCATCCACAGATTATATTAGAATTGAATAAAATTTTTCACATATGAATAAAATTGTCATTTTCTTCGAATGGATCCTGGTTTTCTTTTTATTTTCCAATATAATTATTTTTTGTCTGAAACAGTTGACTCCGTATCCATAATTGAATAAAATTATTCACATATGAATAAAATTGTTATTTTATTGTTATTTTTTATAAATTCTTCCCGTGCATAGCACATATATAATTAACAACTTAATATAATTTACTTTCAAAATTCGAAAAAATTATTTGCATATTATATTTACCCAAGTCAGAACAAGACGTACAAACTCACCTGCAAAGATAGAGAAAACAATCAATTAGTACAAGTCAATTGGGAGCGGATTTCATTGATGGACTCGATTCATTGACAACAAATTAGCGATGGATTATTCCCACTAAGTTTTCTGCTTAGCACGTTATGAGTTTTTATCTATTTTTAGTTTGTTTTTTAAATAGCGGGTATTTTTCCTCATTTTCGTGGTGAGCGGAAAAGCCTTGACGGGTCCGATCGCTTCACGCTTGTCAGGCGTGCAGCCCAGACCCCACTAACCCAGACAGAGTCTGAGCAATTTGCATTTCGCGATGCAGGAAGCATTAGAAGTGTAAGTCGTTTTTTACCTACAGAGTGTGAGCGATTTTCAGGCCTTTTTCATGGGCGATGGGACGTATTGAACAAAGCTTCCCAAGCTTATCACATTATATGTGGGCGACGCCTATGCAGGCCGCAGTAAACACATCCATGGGCACCTGAATGCGGAATTCAAAATTACTTTAGGAACCGCGACTGGCACATGACAGGCTGTCTGTGGGAGCAAAAAGTTAAGTAAATGTGTAACTCATCAGAAAATGTGTATTCTGAAGGTTTAGAAAAGCCTCAAACCCAATCAAAACGTCACATAATTCTCATTGTCAGATACACGACGGTCCTCCCTCGTTTTTAAAACATAAACAAATCCCATTTTGAATAAAAATATATTTCAAATACATCCCAATATTCTCTGCGTTAAGACATCAGGGCCACGATTCGTGAATATATGTCAGAATTTGCTTTGTAATAAAATGTGTCCGGAATCTGGACATAAGAGACAGCCTTAACTTTATTTGACAATTGGGGGCTGGCCCTGGAACAACCAGAATATATTTTGGTCTAAGCTGTATGTAAATGCGGGGCATCCTCAAGAGCGCCTGCCATTTTGAGCGTAATGCCAGTCGACGGGCAGCCCCATTGATTGCATACTAATCAGGGGGAGGGAGTGCCCTTGTCGCGCCAGTTATCGATAACAAGTCCATCTCCAGTTTGAATAAAACGCAAAAGCCCGAGGCAGACGCCTACACAGAGGCGTAGCATGTATTCGAGACCCAAG